AGCGGACCTTTACCCATATCTTTAAAATAGGGCTGCGGAAATCCGGTGACGTCACGGACATCGACGTCACCGGACTCCTCCCCCTTCCCCAAGTGGCTCCGTCGGTTAACGAAGGGAAGGGGAGGAGTCCGGTGACGGCTAACGAAGGGAAGGGGGAGGAGTCCGGTGATGTCGATGTCCGTGACGTCACCGGACTCCTCCCCCCTTCCCTTCGTTAGCCGACGGAGCTGTGGCCAGGCGTACATGGATAGCAATAGCAGCACAGGCAAGTATTATGGGGGAAGTGTCACAACGCAGCTTTTCCAAAGATGCGTTGCAAAGAAGGTTGAAATATGTAGCTGGATGACTGAGATGTGCAACTCTGTCTCTACCTGTGACAGCTGTCAGTAGCTCGGGGTGGGATCACTGAGTGGAGCCCAATCAAACCATTTGCTATGGGGCCCCGTTGATTTGTAGTTACACCGCTGCTGATGGCTACACACAGACTTTTAACTGACTCATTTCTGCCCTGCATTTGTTTTAGCAGCAGGTGAGGACTGTGGTGAATCCCAAGCAGAACCTTCTCAATTAACAAAACTACGTTTGAGTAGATTGCAAGCATCTCCACATTGTTCTGTATAAATTGAAAAAAAATAAACCCTGTTTCTTGTATTTGTGGATGTTCACTAATTACGTTTTCTCAGTCATGTCAGGAAAACCAACTGGATTGCTAAAAATATGAACCTTTCAGTAACTTTACAGGTCTGCATGAATCAATTGCTGACATGTCACAACATATATCAACCTTATAGTTTGTCCAGTTATACCTTTTATCATTAACAGGCGGTTGAGCTCCAGTCAAGTGACTTTGCCTAGGTGGAGATGATGTCATCAGTAGTGATCGGCCGTACACCCCCGTGTTCGGATCGGATTCGAGCTTTCAAACATGGAAAAAGTTTGAATTTGAGCTCGAACTCAATGCAAGTCTATGGGGGTAGAACTTTGAAAATCAATTGACCCCATTTTGAAGGCTTATTTGCAAGTTATTGGCCATAAAAGGTGTATGGGGATTCGGGTACTGCCCTGGGGGACAGGAATCAATGAAAAAAAACTTTCAAAAAATACAATTTTTAAAGGAGCATTGATTTTAACGTCACTTAAAGTGAAACAATTAAAAATTCCTTTAAAAATCGTTCCTGGGGGGTCCCCTTAAACTGCCTGTAATGTGGCACATCTGTAGGGGGGGGCTTATTCACATCAGGGTACCCCTTTAATAAAGGGGCATCTAGATGCGGCACTCCTTTGTGAATGAGTAACTTGTACCCCTACCCATTCACTGAAGGGTTAAATAAAATTGTAAAAAAAGAGGCCAGACTTTTGAAAAAATCCTTTATTTGAAAAAAGAACCCCCAAAAGACAAGTTTTTGACAAGTCTTTTATTTAAAAAAAAAAAATGGATCCACCGACGTAATCCAGTGTCAATCACGACGTCCAGCATTGTCCACGACGACGACTCGACGAAATAAAAAATAAAACAATAAAAAATAAATAGAAATAATTTCTTTTTTAAACCACGAAGACCGTCTTGTCCGTTTGCGACGAACACCCGCCACAGAATGGCATTTTGACAGATGCCGGCAACATATAAACAATTGGGAGGAGCTAGCAATGACAAGTAGCTATGCCCATTTGTGTACAGCTGTAATCATGGCTCTCACTGTTCTCTGTGCCCTGATACCAAAAGTATTGGGACACCTGCACATGAACTTTAATGGCATCCCAGTCTTAGTCCGTAGGGTTCAATATTGAGTTGGCCTACCCTTTGCCGCTATAACAGCTTCAACTCTTCTGGGAAGGCTGTACACAAGGTTTAGGAGTGGGTCTATGGGAATGTTTGACCATTCTTCTAGAAGTGCATTAGTGAGGTCAGATTCTGATGTTGGACGAGAAGGCCTGGCTCGCAGTCTCCGCTCTAATTCATCCCAAAGGTGTTCTATCAGGTTGAGGTCAGGACTCTGTGCAGGCCTGTCTAGTTCCTCCACCCTAAACTCACTCATCCATCAATGTCTTTATGGACCTTGCTTTGTGCACTGGTGTGCAGTCATGTTGGAACAGGAAGGGGCCAACCCCAAACTGTTCCCACAAAGTTGAAATTGTCCAAAATGTCTTGGTATGCTGATGCCCTAAGAGTTCCCTTCACTAGAACTAAGGACCAAGTCCAACCCCTGAAAAACAACCCCACACCATAATCCCCCCTCCACCAAACTTTACACTTGGCACAATGCAGTCAGGCAAGTACCGTTCTCCTGGCTACCGCCAAACCCAGACACGTCCATGGAATTGACAGACAGAGAAGCGTGATTAGTGACTCCAAAGAACACGTCTCCACTTCTCTAGAGTCCAGTGGTGGCTTGCTTTACACCACTGCATCCGACGCTTTTCATTGCACTTGGTGATGTAAGGCTTGGATGCAGCTGCTCGGCCATGGAAACCCATTCCATGAAGCTCTCTACGCACTGTTGTTGTGCCAATCTGAAAGCCACACGAAGTTTGGAGGTCTGTAGCTATTGACTCTGCAGACAGTTGGCGACTTCTGCGCACTGTGCACTTCAGCAATGCGCTGACCCCGCTCTGTCATTGTACGTTGCCTACCATTTCGTGGCTGAGTTGCTGTTGTTCCCAGTTGCTTTCACTTTGTTACAATACCACTAACAGTTGACTGTGGAATATTTAGTGCTGAGGAAATTTCACAGATGGATTTATTGCACAAGTGGCAACCTATCATGATACCACGCTTGAACTCACTGAGTTCCTGAGAGCGACCCATTCTTTCACAAATATTTGTAGAAGCAGTCTGCATGCCTAGGTGCTTGATTTTAAACACCTGTGGCCATGGAGGTGATTGGAACACCTGGATCCAATGATTTGGAGGGGTGCCACAATACTTTTGGCAATATAGTATATATACATTATATAGATAGATATAGATATTACATTTTTTTATATTTTTGTTACTTTTCATTTAATGTACATGCTTGCTGGCTGTGACCAGTGGTTTAACAGTACCATACAGGCAATGGTGCCATCACAATCACTTCCCATGCTTCTGTAGCATTTATTTCACCAATATGAAAGTGGAGGGTCTGTTTCAGCCTGTTGCTGTCAGTTCCCAAGTATTACTTCACCAGGATAATAAATCCAAAACCAATTAAGTTACTCTATTGTCCACACCAACATCAAACCATAACTTCAGATAACCAGTATAACTATTAATACCAACTGTTTATTCTTGGAAAAAGAGTAAGCAGGAGTTTGACTTTAGCATGTAATATATCAGTTTTTACGGATGTTGTCAATGGGTGGTGTTCACAGCTGGGCTAGGACTTTTTGAAGCTATCCACCAAGGCAATTGGTGCAGGAATATAACATAGGCAGACATTTTATGCTCTTTTTGTTTATAATTTTAGGAAAATGCAGTTGCATCAGTAGTCCTATTGGGTAATATTCACTCTGATGAAGGATCCCTGTGCGGACCCGAAACGTTAGCACCGTATGACAGTATGTGACATTGGGTATTGAATAATCATATCAATACTTTAAAAACCCTTCAAGTGTGTGCCGGTGAATTACTTTTATTTACTATTAGTGTTTTGCACGGTGCCATCCGTGTGGTCACCTGGGCACCACATATACCTTGTGGTTTTGAGACCGTGGCAGTGCGAATGGGATTTGGGCTTTGCTATTGGGTAATATGTCTATGGCTCAGTAGCCATATGAGCAGTGACTTAGGCCAAACCAGGTATCCCCCAGCTATTTAGCCTGATGTTTATTGTTAGGTATAATCAGTGTGGACATAATTTCGAAGGGTCTGGTGTGGGGATGAAAAGATGTAGATTGTTTAAAAATGAATCCTGCCCTAAAATAGATCACAAATAATAATGTGGCAAGTAAAATATACTTTTAGAGGGAGCACAAGACCTTATGCAGCCCAATCAACATTTCTGTTTTAGATGAGAACACTGGTGTGAAGAGAGGGAAAGACACATCAAATCTTCCATCTCTATATAACATTCACTGCAAACTGCAAAATACATTGCTCCCAGTATAATGCTTTTAATAGCACCCAAAACACAGGTTTATATTTATATTGTAGAACTATTTTTTTCAACTAAAGCACTGCTTTTAAAGTCTTAAACTACTGACAAATTAAGCACTCATTAAAGATGAGATGGATCGATAGATGGATAGATGGATAGATGGATAGATAGATAGATAGATAGATAGATAGATAGATAGATAGATAGATAGATAGATAGATAGATAGATACCAACATGTAAATAACTTATCTAACACAGTAAATAATTAATTGATTGAAAAAGGAACATCAGATATCATTCATGAGCACAGATATTCAGTTGTATGTTGTAATGATAAATTGCTGACTTAAGTATAATTGTTACAGAACTTCATATACAGATTAAGGCAACTTGTCATTTTAATACAGTGAAGTGATCATAAAAAAAAATGCATAAAAATGGAGTTGGATACAGTAAGAAAAAAAACAGTAATTCCCTGGGGAATTATCAAACTTCTCTGAGACTTTTCCATTTTCTTAAGAGTATGGAATATAGCATAAAAGAAAATTCCATTGTAAATTACATAATTGCCAATAATACATTCTTGCATACAAATACAGTGTAATTAGTCACCTATGATTATTTTTAAGACACGGTAATGAAAAGTGTACTGTACTTATCTGGACCCTACCATCCTATAATAGTTCAGTGCACATCTAGAAGTATTTCTCAAACACAATGGCAACTGTAGAATTGGATCTGTACCTACAAATGTGTCTGTTGATTTGACAGCACTGTGCATACACTGCAGGTTATACACCAAAAATGAATCTATGGATACACTTATACATAGACCTGTTACATCTCAGCCTGAAATCTCTCAGGTGCTAGGGAAAACAGTAACATAACATATACAATGCAAGGTGTCAGTTGATGTGTCCTACCTGGTACTGCAGCTGATGGGTCTAGAAGGGTCAACCACATAAGAGCCAGGAGAGAGAGGAAAGCAGACATTTGCTTGGTGGTATTCCTTTGAGCCATCCTTTTACATTAAACACCCAGACAAAGTAAGTTGGGAGAATGCAGAGAGAAAAAGAAGCACTGAAAGACAAGATGTAAAAAAAATTCCTCCTGTAATAATGCACCAGACACTACTTCTAATACATCCTCAAGTTGTCTCAGCCTTTCCATCTGTTCTCTCTTTTTCAATTTCTGCATGATGTGTAGAGAAGGAAATGATGCATTCTATACATAAGAAGAGAGAGAGCACCATCTAGTGTATTGCTTGGCCAAATAAAGTGTATAAAATTAGCTGTGACTTTTCACTCCAGGCATTGAAAAGTTATAAAGAAACTGTACAGCCAGATTCAAAGAACCATTAGAATCACATATGCTACAATATACTGAGAACTTTTCTGTTTCCAATAAAGAAAATCCCCAACCAGGACACTAAATTGAATTATTTTCACAGTTGTCTGGGACAGGGCTTACCTTTTCCCCAATTGTTTAGTTTATCTGGGATCCTGGCAAGGAGACCTGACTCTGCCCTGATAGTCAATACTAAATTATTATGAAGAATCTAGCTCAGGGCAAGTGTCAAAGGCAGCTCAACATAAATCTGAGGTAGTGTTAACAATAATAATAATAATACTAATAATAATAATGTCAAGCTGCCATGCACATTCATTATGTAATTAAATAGGTGCTTTCTCATACTGTTTACATTATATAATATGAAGGTTGTTGAAGGTAATAAAGCTTCCCTTACACTGGGGATTCTACCATATTTCCTATCAATGATTAGTTTATACATTTGGCTGTCGAGTCGACTAAAGTTTAAGAGCCAGTTTAGGGCCAAGACCCCCTTAAAGAGGAACGTACCCCTTATCTTAAAAATGACAATAAAGGCACCTTTGGAAATGTTTATTAATCTCAGAGATGCAATGAATGGGCTCAGTGTGTACGCTGCATGGTGCACACATTATACAGTGTACTCTGAAAATAAAAAATCACTTGGGAAGAGAGGAACATTTTTTTTTGGGCAGAAGAGACTTTTCATTTCACCAAATCCCTGACTCCCAGAAATGTTACTGACTTTACTCCCACTTTAAAAGAGATGCCCAGAGCCACACTTTTACTGCCGGCATCTTTGCTCTGTACATGTGCAGCTAGTAAGCCCATATCCTTTGAAGGAAATCTCTTATCTATGGCAGTGACTTAAAGTTAAAGATAAAATAAAAAGAGCCCCTCCTTTTTTATGAATACATTTAATTGTTCATTTTTCTTTAACAAACATCACTTTTGCCTGATGAAGGAGCTCTTTTAGTAACCCTCAAATGCCGCATTAATGTGAGTCATAAATATGCTTCAAACAAGCAACCAGGAGTGCTGATAAAGTTCCTTGCATTTTTGACGCCTTCCATTTTTATTATTGCTGTTTGGCAGTGCACATGAGAATTCTCTGTTGATTTCTGTAAATAGAGCTACAATTATTAGTGCCATCGTCCTCATAAGCCTGTAAGAAGTGGTCTGACTAGGCCCAACTTATGGAGGAGTGGTCCTACATTATATAGCGCTTCCTGGTGACTGGAGTTGTTAAACCAGTTGTCTAGTCCGAGAGGCCACAGCTTTGCAGGGATAGCACCCACAGGGTTCTGCTCATCCCATCGATTACCCCACTTGTGTTTCTCTTAACAGGCTCTAAGCCTTTGCAGAAGTACCATTTTACTTTACTGAGGCCTTTCTTACATGTGGTTCCCGGTTTAAACAGAGAGGTTTACCACCACTCCAGAGTCCACGCGTTACAGGTGTTTTGAGTCACAGGAGTTGTGTCCAGGCATAGCTACTGACCCTCCCACAGATCAACTCTCTTCTTTTGAAACAACACCACTTCTGCCCAGAAACAACTGTTTTAACACATATGTGCCCCTCTCCCCCAGTCATTGGCTGTGCATTAGTACACTGCTCTGTCAGTCCCAAATATTGAAAGCCTTACTTGTATTTGACCAGCTGCCGGCAGCCCAACAGCAACTCTGCCTACTTTACATGTAGAGCACACATCTCATGGAGGCCTTTTCCTATGTTGAATGCTTTGCTAACTAAATACCTGTCCATATACAGGTGAAACTCGAATAATTAGAATATCGTGCAAAAGTTCATTTATTTCACTAATGCAACTTAAAAGGTAAAACTAATATATGAGATAGACTCATTACACCAAATAAACAACAACACACAAGCTGGTTTCACAATACTGTAGCAAGATCAAGATCAATTGTTACGGTACTCATAGTGGCGGATGCATACGTAGGATGATTCTTAAGTTCCCTAATTTTAGTTCCAATCCAGTCCAAGTTCCATTCCCAGGCCTTGCGAGCCTGACTGGCCTTGCCCCTGAAGGGAGAGCCTTTGAATCATGTCCTCTCACATACTGGCTGCCATGAGCCCTGTGCACCTTACCTCACTAGACTTTTTTTTCGGCAAGGTGCGCCACTACACAAAAATATACTGCACTATTACATCAAAGGGAGTACAGATCTCTTGCCCAGTAACACCATGCTACAAGTCTGTTTAGCATTTTATTATTGTTTTATATCTAGGTTAACAGAAATGACATATCAATTGGTACAGCAGCGCCCAAGTTGAATACACTTTGCATGCTAGTCTTTGTAATTTGTTTCTGTACCACCATGGTCCATAACTGAAAGTAGAAGATCATGAAGGATTTTGGAAAATGTGCCAGCTTTTGATTTCGTTCTTTAAATTATGTAATGCGACATTTCATCTTGCATTGTCCATATACCATTCTCATTGTTTTTCTTTTGTTTCTTGCTCCATGAAAGAACTGTTTTATTTAATGTATTCATGTCTTAGTAAGAGTCATTCCTTTGTGATTACTTCCAAATAAATTGCATTTGTTTTATTTCTTTTTACTTTTCTGGATAGCAAAAAAATTTTTAAAGGTAAAACATTAAAATTACAGTTTCAGAAGTATGCAGTAGTCACATATCTATATAAATATGTAATCAACACTTACATATGGCACTGTGCAGCATGCGATATTTACTTTTCAGGGCGGTGTCACTTTAACCAGTAAAACATTCTTATTATGTATGATATCTGAATTCAGTGATAAACCGGGCTTTCGATCATTAATAAAATTACTAAAATATTCTGTATATTCGCAGTTAGATATTTAGGGGAAATGAGCAGAAAAAAGAGAAAATACATTATTTTGCACTTCACCTTGACTCTTGACGTTTGCAACATTGATGCAAATTGATGCCTTAAAATTAATAACTCATGCCCCAAAAAGTCCTCATAAGTCATGTATAGTAGGAGACTTTATTGGATTGTGTCAATGTATTAATCAACCTCAGCAAGGTAGGTATTACTTTGAAACCATCTTTTTTCTTTCCTTTTTTTTCTCGCATACACTTATATTTGGAGGATTAGCTATGTCCTCCCAAAATTCAGTTTACTGTAAGTACAACTGTACTCCTGGTGGCCTCAATAAACATTTAGGGCTTGTTCACACTACCACACATTGTAAAACACATTACTGCAACCCATGGTAAAGCACGATGGACCCCTGCTGGATTATAATCTCATGTTTAGTTTACTAATTTGTATTGGGATTGTAGTCCATCATGGGAGCGAGCTTGGAGTGGTGGCTACTTTACAACACACACAGGGACTAAACAGTAGCCACCCTCCAGAAGGAAGCACAGTGTCAGCATGAATTCAGAGATGATCTGAAGATCTATAGCCGAGTGATGCACAAATAAGATACATTTTTGTTAATAAGTAAGATACTTGAATGCATTTTTAAGATTTAACTTTTAGTGTCACTTTAATGTTTGCTTTACAATTAATATTGTACAGTACTTATCATGCAGGCAATGTGCTGCTTTAACAGCTGATTAAAAATTAATGGGCTACCTAAAACAATGAGGTAAAAAAATAGGAGCAGACAAAATCTGGAGCAGCTGTGCACGTAACCAATCAGCTTCTCTCTTTAATTTTCAATTCTTATCTGAACAAACTGAAGTGAGAAACCGATTGGTTGCCCTGAGCAACTGCTCCAGATTCTGTCTGCTCCAGTTTTGAAAAAATCCCCTCAATGTGTCTAAATGCATAAAATCCTGTGTTTGTTACCTTATGCATTCAGGGCCGGTGCTGAGGATTTCGGTGGGACTTTTTATGGAATTGTCAACGGTCAGCAGGGCCCTCTTCCTTCTGCCCATACTGTGATTTGTAGTCTCTATAGCTTGGTGTCAGTGGTGCAGAGCCAAGGCCCGGCTGCAGCTGTGAGCCTGGTAGATCTGCCACTGACTCTAAGTTGTAGAGAGACTACAAATCTCAGCAATACATTATACAGCAATGCAGAATACCTCCGAATATAGAGGACTAAAAAAACAGTAATAATTTACACAGTAATGCAGAATACCATTAGCTATAGAGGACTACAAATCTCAGCAATAAATTATGCAGCAATGCAGAATAATACCACCAACTATTGAGGACTATACATCCCAGCAATACATTATAATGCAATGCAGAATGGCACCCGCTATAGAGGTAATCTTTGTGCCGTCTATCATGCTTAGGGGGACACACAGTATTTGCAAGCTGTATACATACTAAGTAAATGCCCACAATAAATAATTTGCATGAGTATTTTATATATGTCTGATATTATTATTATTATTATTACTATGGGCAATGGACCTCAATCAGACAACCCAGCGAGAAGTGTGTCAGAAAGTCGGCTTGTTCCTGCACACTATGCACAGCCCACCCCACTCCTCGGTGTGACTTATTGTCACTGCACATCTGAAGTGGGAGGCCTTTGCCTGGGAAGCACTGCTGTGGTATTTAGTACTTTATATTAGTGGCGCTGGCACGCTAACAATACTTGTGAAGGCAGAGGGTAAAGTAATTCAGTGCTATTAGGCTCTGTGAGCCTATAAACAGATATTGGCAGGCTGCAGCTATGATTTAAAGAGCCTGGGCAGCCTAGTGTCACCCCTAGCAAGCCACGACATATGTAGCCTAGGTTACTATACGGCCCTGACTGCACGGCATACTGTTTTTCCCCATCCAGGAGGGCGCACACAAGTGCTGTCAGTACAACACAGAAAGCACTGCAGGGGGGAAGATGCTGAAAAGTTTTCCAAGTATTTCTAACTAATGCAATAATCCGAAATCTGTGACATAGGAATGTAATAAAAGCTTTTTTAGGTTTACATTTACTTTAGACTGTAACACTGGAGTGGTCTGCGGATAAGGGAGTTTTAAAATATGTTGACACTAATCTGAAAAATAGCTTGAAACAATATGGGCAATGTCATCATATCTGAAGGATATCTCAGCCTGCTCAGGCTAGCTTGTTACATTTAGGCTTGAGTACAATAATATTATAAAACTAACCCTGTGTTACACCTTGTCTCATTTTCTTGTCTTACATTCCATGTTAGATGATCTGAAAAGGTGCCTAGAACTTCCTCCTAGGCTGATCGATAAGATCGACTAGTTTGACTTCTAGGTATGCTTTGCACCAGAAGTAACGCTGTTTCCATTACATGGCCAATAGCAGTCTCCAGTCCTGGAAAACTAATAAATAACAACCCCCTTTAAACAATGCTCTGATCAATTCCTAAGTGATTCAAAAAGTGCCAGGGTGATAAAGACTTAAATGTAAAAAGGTTAGATGAGAAGTGCTTCTCATTGGTCAGTGTGGCCTAAGTCAGCGTGCTGACTAATGAGTGCTCACCATCTGCGAGTGTTATTCGAAATGCTCGGTTCAGGGAGGCAGCCGGAGGGAATGGCAATTCGCACAGATATGACCACCGGGAGGGAAGTAGAGGGTGCAGATTTCTGGGGGAATTTCATTTTCTCATATTTGGTGAGAAACTGGAATTACCCTTTAAAGCTAGAGAAAGTGAGATTTCCTGGCTGGTGGACATCCAGTGTCTTCTAGAACTTTCCTTCCAGCTTTCCTGCCCTGAACTGCCCCTTTCATTCTTTGGACTTCAGTTTTTTCAATTATGTAAGCTCAGAATCAGATGTAGGCCTTAACTAAGGCAGTCTGCGTGCATTTGCAGGCTGTCTAGAAATGCCTATTCCTCCAGACTGAAATCCACCCATTGAGGCATTTTGATATTTGTATAACTCATTCCAACAGCCAGCCCACTCCTTGCATCACATCTGAGGGCTCAGAGAGGAGTACTGAGGCAGGATGCTTTGATGTTTTAAGGACGCTATGGACAGCACCTTCTGGCTCCTTCCACCAATTATGATCTACCTGATGATATAACATATGCAATGAAAATGGAAAGGTTTTATTTAAAAACCTCTTCAGCATATCAATGAGGGGGGAGGGGGGAACCAGGAAAGGCAAATGTAGGCAAATAAAACAAAGCATTTTGCTTTTGTTGGTTTGCTTCCAGTTTGGCCATTAAAAACAATGAGCCCCAAAATTATCATTGTCTAACATCTACACCATCCTTAGAAACCATGCCACTGACGCCATTAAGACGCCACCCACTTATGTATGGCAATGGGTACTTTTTCTAGAACTCCCCACAGAGGAGACTCAAGCCATACTACATAAAAGCTGGCACAGGATACACAGAATCATTACTTGTGAGGTGTGGAGGGAAATACAATTTAAATTAATTCATAGAGCATGTTATGCCTTTAACTTTATGCCCAAACCTGGGAACACTGAAAGGATAACTTGCTGCCCTAAATGCAAAGCAAACTTGCCTGATCTAAACCACCTTTTTTGGACCTGTCCACAGATTACAACCTTTTGGAAATGCATTATATCGTACATGCACACTATCACCGGCATTACTAGAACCCCTCATCCACGATTATGTTTGTTTCACGATGATGTTACTGCATCATCTACAAGTAATCTCCCCTTGCAACGCTGGGAACATCTATGCCTGCTGGGAGCAAAAAAATGTATACTTCAATTCTGGTTATCTAAAGAATCACCACAATTGGCTGATTTGAAACTTATTCTATTCAGATTCTTTTCCATGGATCTACTAACTAATTCTTCTCAAGCCACTGAACATGCACATAACATCTCGGAATGGGACAATTTTATACACAAAGATATGTCTATAAATCATAGAGAGGACTTACATTCCTTTGTACTTGCAACCACTGGCCGAGAACGACCTCGACGAGAAACCTAGGGCTATGGTGTTATTACTACACCGTAAAATGACTGATATAATTTCTCCGATTACCATCATATAAGCCAGAGACACAGCCTATACAGACGCGCTCCTTGGACTTCTACTTACCTGGTAGATCACCTGCTCCCTCGACCACTATCACATTAGACTGGGAAGCCAGTAGCGGATCCTGGCCATGAGTTACCTAGACCTTTTACACCAAAAAAAAACTCTGGAAGCAAATACCCCGCCCCAGTGAATGAATGGACAGATAACATACAAATTTCTGACACAGTTGTTCTGATCTCACGTTTATCCCAAACTATCTACCTGACCTGGTTTCCATATAGACGTAGATAATACTTTTAAAGCTAATTACATTGTTTTCTTTTGCTTTACAATTTTACACTGTTGTAATGAAATGAAAGGAACGTCTAACTAATTTCTTGGAACTGTATCAATTGATGAAGCATGTAACATGTAACAAATGTTTGTAATTCATAACATCAATGACAATGCCTTCTTTGTATCGATGCTTTCATGCTTTCAATAAAAAACTTGTATGCTAAAAAAAACAAAAAACAATGAGAATGTCCACAGAAAAAAGGATGCCTTCCCACCAAGACAGATAGATGAAAACGGTTCACTGAGTACAATATACAGGCTTTTCCTTGCGGTTTCCTAGGGATTTGGTTTTTTATTTAATCCCGGGAAAACCGCAATAGTGGAAATTGGCCCTTACTGATCCATAGAAAAGATCCATAGAAAGCACACAAGTGGGTATGGACTCTACATCGTAATTTGGGTTGGTGCAGCAATCCAAGAACTACACAAGATCACAAGGGTTGTAGGCAAGCCTTTTTCTGTGCTGGAACACACCAGTAATATGTACTAACACCTCTCGGCACTGGTCCTGTCCTGTACCTCCTATTAGGTAGGAGCTAATAAGCATCCTATTGGCCATTTAGCACTCTGCAGGATAAGAAGAGCCTATCATTGGTTTAGCATAATTTCCAAGTGTCACAAATTCTATGGGATTGTTCCAGGACTTTGGATCTCAAAGTACCCATGTCCCGTGGGCTGTTTTGCAGAGCACAGGACTTTGGGCTTTGCAGAGCAGCAGTGATGTGCCAGGTGCAAGAATACATTCTGTGTTTCTGCACTCACTATTGAGATACTGGTACTGTCCGGTGGAGTGTCTCCATCAGACAATACAATTGTTCAGGCTTGATGTCAACCTGGAGATAAGTGTCAATGCAGGACTGCTCACTTAAGAAAACACTGAACATCAATGTGGGAGGTACTGCCAATGACCACAAATCCTGGAGGGGTGTACATTTCACTGCTATTGACCAAGATGCAGTGATACATTTCACTGCCACTGACCTCCAACGAAGGGGGTTAAAAATCACAGCCACTGACCACCACCAATGGAGGGGGTTAAATAAGACTGCCACTGACCATTGATGCTGGCTGGAGTTAGATAGCACTGCCACTGACACCAGCGCTGGGGAGGTTTCTATTGCAGCTACTTACACCAGCGCTGAAAGTTACTATTACTCCGACTGATAGCAATGCTGGGGGTAATTATTGCTCCAATTGACACCAACAATGGCACTTATTTAACACTCACTTTCTCTTCACTGTACCCAAAGGCCCTATTTTGTTTAAAATATAGTAAAGCAAAGGAGGAAGTTGTAACACTGCAAGCCATGTGCCATGAATCGACACACACATGATTGGCTACGTCCCTTTTTGGCCACATCCACAAAAGGGAGGGGGGGAGTAAATACCTGGACTTATTCTCTGATAAAAATTGCCCTGGTTGCTGGTATTTCATTCATAGATTCTCATGTCTAGTTGTTAAGTCTATCTTTGTCTTAGCAACACAACACTGAGGCTATGTTATAGAAAGGTATGAAGTATCCTTTACATAAATATGTAAATAATTATTTGATAAGACTTACTTCTGCAAATTTTCTGCTTCTTCAATAGTTTCTGGTAGAGCCTGTCCTTTCGTTTCAGGAAGGAGCAGTACAAGAACTCCTGAAAGTGTTCCAATTACAGCTACAGTACATGGCCAAAAGGAAGCAGAAACAAATGCATATGCTCAATAAAAATACAAATAATGTATGTACATACAGTATATTTATATAGTACAATGCAAAGATAATGCAAATGCCTACTAGATTGTAAGCTCTCACGTGCAGGGCCCTCCTAACCCTATTGTACTGAAATTGCATTGTAATTGTCTGTCTCCCTCATTTTGTAAAGCGCTTCACAAACTGTTGGTGCTATATCAATTCTGTGTAATAATAATAACAATAATAATAATAATAATGTCAAGCTGCCATTCACATTCATTATGTAATTAAATAGGTACTTTCTCATACTGTTTATATTATATAATATGAAGGTTGTTGAAGGTAATAAAGCTTCCCTTACACTGGGGATTCTACCATATTTCCTGTCAATGATTAGTTTATAGAACAGAGGCAGGATCTGGGTGATCAGTTTTGACTAGAGATAAGCTTCAGGTCGAGCATTAGCTGTACGCAGTTCGTTGAATGGGCCAAGGATTTAGCAGTTTGCCCTCTCATCCAGACTCTGTTTGTGTCCTAGCAATCAATGATGCTGTGCAGGTTGCACAGCATCATTGGTTGACTGGTTGCTAGGTCACAGGCGATTGCACCATAACCTATGAAGCTGCGGGGCTGTTAACATCATAGCAAGAGCCAAGGTTGCTAAGATGCAGTGCCATTGGTTGTTATGTAACCAATGAAGCTTTGTGGCTGAGCTGCTAGTGAGCAACCAATGACCCGCACCCTGTGTCATTGATTGCTAGGACACATGTGGCCCTGTGTTTGGTTCACTGGAGCCCGAATTTCTGACTGGTACAAGCAAACCAAACCCAGACCAGTTGCTTACAACATAATGATTCTCAGCACTGCCCACTTGCTTTAAATTTCAAGACAGTGGCTTAGCGTTGCCATATAGGAAACCAAAAAGAAATTGCTTAAGAAAATTGTATAAACATGATATCAAGCATACTAAAATATAGAGCTTGGTGTACATACTCTTAAGGCAAGAGCAAGCCACAATATTCATTTGAAACATATTCAATACTTTGATTATTCAAAGTAACTACCAGGGTTGCAGCGATTGCAGCTGAGACCTGGCTCTGGCGCTCCACCACTGTCCTGAAATCATTAGTCTGTATTGTTTTAGAAAAACTGTCACATGACAATAAACAAAAATGTATCAGTACTCGTACTTGTAAGTACTTGGCAAGTACCAGTACTCGTACACGCAAAACTGGTATCTGTGCATCCCTTTATTTATATTTATAAAAACAAAATCGTACATTAAAACAGAGATGTACAAATCCCAGGAGCTCTAGTCTAGTCTTGGAGCTCAAAATTATCGGTACATGTACTCGTACTTGTACCGAGTACTGTACTTGGTATCTGTGCAACCCTAATATATATATAACATACATGGTCAAATACTATATACTGTATATATTTCTAAAGTTTTATTCAATTTTTTCCTTTTTATAATTATAAAAATCGACTTTAAGGTTCCCAAAACCCAGTTCACATGTAGAAATAGCATCTGTTAGCATCTATTACTGTGATGACTGGCTTACCAAATACTATAAGTGGTAGCTCCTGCCAGACATTTGACAACCGATAAACAATAAATGGTGTTATTATTCCTCCCAGATCACACATTGATGAGCAGACCATTATGCCAAGATTCCTGAGAAAAGAAGAAGAAATCAAGTTTGTACAACATACATTGTATTCACTGTTTTTGCAGTTCTACCTTTAAAATAAAATATAATGAAGGCCATTCAGTAAAGCATTTGCAACACTCTTCTGGCGTTATGGCCATATTAGAAAGTCCCAAGCCAACTTAATAAAAGTCGTGTGACAGTTTTCTAGTTATTTCCAATGCCTGTAACAGGTAGTTCTTATGTGTGACACTTGTACAATCTAGCGCTTATTAAGAAATACCGCCACATCGGTGATAAAAAAAAAAGTGGAAGTAGAATGGACCACTTCCATGATGGAGTAAATTATCGCACGTCTGTCTGAGGCAATTCTGCAACAAATTCATATACACATACCAATAGTTAAATGAATCTGTCTCAAGTTGCACGATTTGTTGCATGGATGGGAGACAGATTTTCAAATTGTTTATAAATTCCAGAGAATGTACATATGTAATTTTTGGGTAGGCATGTGTCTACTCTTAATGCAGATGTCCAGTCACATAGTCCCCCGAACATCCCAGAAGTTAAAAGAGAACTATGGGGTAAGTGTTTTTCCCCATAGTTTTCTTTAGGGTCCCAAAGCTCAGTATATTGCAGGCTATTGCCTGCGATATACTGAAAGCGCCAAAGCCGGGACGGATCCTGACAATTCTGTTGAGATCCACCCAGCTGCGTGAGTGACAGCGGGCTCTGCCTATCTAGAGACAGAGCCAGCTATGCCCACCTCCTCCCCCGTCCATTCCTCCACTCAGCGCTAGAGGATCGGAGAGAGGAGGGGGAATCCCTGCAAGGAGCAGTGACTGGCAGTCACCGATCACTGCAGGGAGACGATCAGGAAGTGAGCGGATTGGCGACATGTATCTGCTCATTTCCCGATTGATAGAGCCGACCTGTGACATCTTCTTTGTCACAGGTCGGCTCCAACTATGAGTATGAGTGGAAATCACCCACCTCATAGTTCTCCATAAAAGTCTAGGAATGTTTTCACTTCTTTTCTTCCCCACCTCTCACTGCTTCCCTACATCTTTTGCACTACATGCCATCTTTTGTACTTCAGTAATAAGGTACAACGATCCCTGGAATAACTGTTATTTGTGTCAATCCCGTCTCCTACAGCCTCTCTACAGATTTCTTCTATCTACTTGCCATCAAGATAGCCAGGCTGTATTCTAGGAATGTAAACCACACATTAACCACCTGGAAAACACATTTATTTACTAGAATACATGCCTGCTAAAACAAACCCCCCCCCCCCCCCCCCCCCGCATGTAAATCCGCTGCGGCTGATAACCTCGAATTCCAGGTTCTGACACGTACCGACAATGGTGTTATTTATATTGAAGTGCAATGTTTGTATACTACGGTAATTTGTCATTTTATTGCCTTTTACATTAAATAAAAATGTATATGGAAAAAAAAAGTCTAGGAATTACGTTGTAGGACATGGAGGGCTATGCTGGAGCATGGAGAGAGTAAGAAGTGCAAAAACATTTTTATACACTTGACTTGTGTATACACCATACACTGTCTAAATCTAAAAAAACATATTTTGGCTTTACATACAGCTTAAATTAAATCTAATCCACTTCCACATGTATAAATCATCAATTTACCTTATAAAAGTTGGATACAGCTCAGCATTCACCAAACAAATCATTTCATAAGAAAGTGTAATCCCCATTCTGCTCACACATCCTAGTGTCACTTTTAGCCATTGTAATCCTGAAAAAGATAATGACAAGACTGATGTTTAACAAACGGTCTCATTGTTGGCAGACCATATGTAATGGATTAACGGAACAGTACCCAGGAAGAATTTCTCAGACTGTTCAGTGGCGGTTCTTGTGCTAATTTCTTCTACTCTTTCATTTGCATCTTCTAATCAAGTCCTGCCTGGGTGTTTACCTGCTTCTGTGTGCATGGATTTAATTCCCTGTCTTGTTATCAGAGCCTGCTCTGCACCTATATGTCTGGCTTGCATCTCTCTGCTGTGGTTATTGCTTTGTAGTTTAATATTGCCCTTCCTTTGTCATACCTCCCAACTTTCTGAGATGAGAAATTGGGATACTTCTAGCACAAAGTATGTAGGCAATGGGCACAGCCCTGTCATGCCCCCAGTAAAGCCGACCATTAAGAGTTTATATGCAAAAATTGATTGGTCAAACCCAGAATTGTTTTTTTCCCCATCATTACCTTTATACTGTCTTTTCAAAATAGCAAAGAAGAAATTTAGGAGATAAGATAAAGGTTTTAATGCAGAATAACACTTGGTAAATTTTCCTAAATATCTGTACAAAGGTAAACTGAGGAGGGAAGAGGGACAGAGGGATTTGCTTTGAAATGAGGTACAGATGAGGGGTGTGCATTGTTTTCCTGTGTTCTACTGTTACCTGCAGTTATCCATTGGACTAGTCCATTGGTCAGTGTAGTTCTACCATACCATTGGCTTAAAATCATGTTTTAATTCTGGCCTCTAATTACTCTTGCCTACTATGCAGTGGTTCTGTGCACCTCATTTCTGCCTTTAGGCTGTAATGACCCATCTTTTGGCATCATGATAAAGAGGACCTGTCAGGACAGTTATCTGTCACATCTGAAGCTCCTATCCACTGCTGGAAGCTACTATTACCTAAGCTTTGAAAGCAGTGATAGTTTTGGGGAAGAAATGTCATTGTATATAATGCTTTAGAACTATGTATTTCCCTAAAATTAGCACCACGTCTAGTAAAGGTAGTCTCCAACAATGCACTTGGACCTAGGCAGTAACAGATAACAGTAGTATTATGTTTGAATTTCTATCCTTTTCCTACATGTGCTTTGTTAGTTCCAGTGCTCAGCCTTCTATCAAAGACTAGCACTTACTCATGCTAGAAATAGATGGGATGTTAATGGTTTGGAAAAACTTGTAGGCAATTGTTTGAGCAGTGGCTAGCCTGAAGGCAATTGTGACTGAAACAGGCCCCGGAGCACACCTGACCTGTGCTCATACTATATTTATGTGTTGTTTGTGCCAACTTATCTTGGACAGAGATTTTGGCTTTCAGACATGTATTGTGGCGCTTATGTATTTGGGTTCATGGTTCTCATTATTTCTGGCATGGGCCAAGAGAAAAACTCTGTCCACTCTATTTTAGTTTTGTAATTGCTGTTACGTTCACAAAATGCACTATTTGGTTGGTTTAAAAAAATACCAAATGCTTTTAGTATTGGTAAATAAGATTCTTTTTACTCATTCCATGCCACTGGATTAAAAAAATATATATATTTAGAATTTCTGCCAATGCATGTAATTTGTAATCTAAGCAATGTTATAAGAATGTATGCTATATCCGTGGAAATGCTAAACTGCCACACATAGCATTAGGAAAGCAGTTCCCATAGGCACAGCATGTATGTCCTGTCTATGTAAGATCACTGGATACTTTTATGCCTGTCTATGATAAAACACTACTAAACAATATTATAACTTTATTTGATTCCACATTCCAGTCTTACCTATCCAGTTTGTCAGATGTGGGCATCAATCTATAGGCAGGATATTTGAAATCCCATTTATAGTTTTATAGTTTTAAAAAAGAAACTTATAAAAAATTCCATAGATTGTACTTATATCTTTATTGGTTGTTTAGCAAGAATAAACATTTATTTGAAATTTGAAAAGCTCATATTGTAGTCTATATGGGAAATATGTGTTCTTTGTATTGACAGAAAAGTACTTAGCATAAAACGTGTATAATTATTATTATTATTATCATGATGATGATGATGATGATTATTATTATTATTCAGGATTTATATAGAATAGTGCCAACAGTTTGCACAGCACTTTACACTATAAGGAAGATATTACAGTTCCAATACAAATCAAGACAAGATGTTAAAGGCCCTGCCTGTGAGAGCGTATAATCTAAAGGAATGTGAATTGTATTTGTATGTATTTGAAATGTGTGATAAAGCAATGCTGATACCGACTATTTTTTATAAGTTAACATTTTAACAAAAACATATTGATTGTCTTTTTTTATTAATTACAAATGTTATAAAAAAAACGTAAATATTCGTAAAAAAGTATTAATAATACTGTTAATAAACCTGGTTCATAGGATAGTTTGCTATAAAATTTTGACACTTTTTATTAAACATTAACCTTTCCCTTTCAGTGCTCTTATCCAAATTTTCATAGTATTCTAGTGTTAAATATCTTGTTATTGTAGAACTTACTGCTTGCACTCTTGGAGCTATTTTCTTGGACACTGCCTAAGTCTAGCCTTAATTCCTATGAGAACCACCAGATCACATCTTTGATTCCCAGCAATCCTGGCCTACCTATTATCCCAGTAAGCCATGAAGCGATTTTATTCCACAATCATCTTATATACACGCAACAGAAAACCATATGGTTCAAATCCAGACATCCGGAGCTACACACAGGGCATCTTCTTTCAGCTACTTTAGATTAAGTAGTGTATCTATTAATATACATATACCACCTTTTAATCAATTTTAAATACACATACCTCAAATAGACACTTATAATTGGTTTTACCACCTCTCTGTATTTCCCCATTAACAACTCTCCAATATTATGTACTTGCAGAAA